AGTAAAATTGCCCAATATTTACCAGCAACCACCAACCAGAAAATATTACGTAAAATAAAATCCTTTTTTCAAAAGAAACAATAAGTACAAAATATCTAGGAAAAACCCAAAGACGTGAGAATTTTATGGAGAAAAAATACAAAACTTTAAGGACATAGAAGAAAATAAATGAACAGATGTGCCAAATTCATCAGTGGAAAGATTTAATTATTGTAATGATATTTGTTCTCCTCAAATTAATTATGGAGATGTAATTATTTTCATGGGTCTTGGCAAGCTGATTCTAAAATTACTGTGGGTGAGTAAAGGGCCTAGGAGAGCCACAGTGAGTTTGAAAAGAAAGGAGGGAAACTGCCCAAGATCAGCAAGCTTATGTGGGAGAAAGAGCTGTTATGTTTTACTGCTTTTTAAAAGTAAAAATAGTCTTTAGCTAATAGATGCACAAACAAGATTCAAAAGGGCATACTGTGGAAAAAATGTCGTCTTCTACCCTGTTCCCTGAGCCCCTCTCTTAACAGTTTCTGAAATGAACGCGCCCATAGAACTCTTCGTGCGTCTATGCACGAAGTGCAGTGTTTCGGAGAAGTAACAGCATCTTATACCATGATTTTTTCAAAGCATAATATACCTTAGTGCTTCTGTCATCGTAACACCTGTAACATTGCTTCATTTCTTATAAAGACCATATAATAATCCTTGAAATAGTTATAAATTATTTAACCAGTCCCTTAAGATGTATGTTTTGGTTATTTCTAATGTTTTCCCGCTGCCAACAGTGCTAAAATGGATTTCCTTCCTTATACATGTATTATTTTACATATACCAAAGTACTGCTATAGGATAAATTCCTATAATTGAATTTGTGGGTCAAAGAGTGAGGACATTTCTGGTTTTGGTAGATGTTACCCAGTTAGCCTCCACAGAGGCAACACTGAGTTATACCCCACCAGTGATGGGCACCCGTCCAGCTTAGCCACTGAATGCCCTGGGCATCGTGCGTCTGCGTATTTATGAATCCGACAGGTACAAACTGTTATTTTGTGGTTTTTCTCAGTAGTGGTAGTAGTAGTAGCACTAGCGGTAGTAGTAGTAGTAGTAGTAGTAGTAGTAGTCGTCCTTTTTTATATATTAGGAATATGTAGAACTTAAATTAGTTCTTTTGTGATATGTGTCACAAATGTTTCCCAGGTTGTCATTTGTGTTTGGTTATTGTGTTTTTTTCCTATGTTGAAATTGCTGATTTTATAAATATGTCAATTTTGTTACATCACTTCTGGCTTTTATTTCATACTTTGAAGGTTTTTCTCACACCATTGTGAGAAACACTCTCCAGTGTTTTCCTTCTAATAATTTGTGGGGTTTTGATATTTAGATCTAATCTATCTAGGATTTATTTACGCGTTCGTGCTAAGGTGAGGCTCCGTCTTTCCCCCAGTCAGATAGCCATCATCCCCGTGTCTCTCCACCAGTAATTTGAAATGCAGCCTTTATTATAATCGGAATTCCTGTTTGTTCTCCTTTTGTGCCAGTAGCATTTTGGAATTTTCTTTATACAGATTTTGTCATTTCTTCTATTTATTACTAAGAATTTTATTTTTCTTACTGCTGTTGTAAATAACTGAGGTTTGGTCTTCTTTTAAATCCCCTATTTATTGGTTCTCATATATGAATGCTGTTAATTTTAGTAAATTAGTTTGCACCCAAGGAATTTATTGAATTATTGAATTACTTAAAATAGCGTATCAGCTGATTTTCTTGGGTTTTCTAGAGACATGATTTGCAAACAGTGATCATTTTAACTCTTCAACCAACTTTTATACTTAGTTCAACTATTTTAGTTATTACTTTTGCAAAGTGTTAAAGAAAAGTGATAGCCGTAGACATCTTTGAATAATCTTGATCAGGTTAAGGAAGTATTTGCTCATTTCTGTTTTGTTAGGGGCTGGGTGTTGAATTTTACTAAATACCTTTTCAATGTGTATCGAAATCTTTATGATTTTTCACTTTTGATATATTAATGGGGTGAATTACATTTTTAGATTTCTTAGCATTAAATCTTCCTTCAATTCTTAGAATTAAACACTTGGCTATGGTATAGTTTGACATTTGAATTTATTAATGTTAATTTATATTTAATATTAGACTATATTCAAATATTTAGGATTTTTATATCAGTACAAATGTAGGACACTAGTTTTCTTTTTCTGTGCTATTTTGTGGGGTTTTCTTACCATTCTGTGCTAGATTCTTTGCTTTCCTATTCCTGTGCACTGGAAGAGTTTAAATCACACTAGAGTCATCTGGTCACTGTAAGTTTGATAGAGTTACCTTATGAATATATCCCTAGCTAATGTTTTTCTGAGCAAGCTCTTTGCCAACTTCCTCTAATTATTTCTTTACAAATTGGTCTTTTTAAGTATTCTGTTTTGTTCTATGGCCAAGTTTTAGTCATTTATGTTTTCTTAAAAAATCACAGTGTTTATATTTTTGTGCAGAACTGAACAAAGTAGTTGCTTATGACTATTTTAATTTCCTTTTTCCGTGTAGCTGTCTCCTTGTAGACATTTCTCACTTTGTATGTCTGTGCTTTGTGTTTTCACTGTTGATTAGATTAGGTGATGCTACCTCTCTTTTATTTTCCCTTAAGATGGAGCTCCTGCATTAATACTGTTAGTTCTATAATTTTGGTTTTTCATAGCATTACTTTAGCTTTTTCGTTATTGTTTTCAGATCTTTTGCAATGTTTAGGTAACTTTTTTGACTCAATGATTATCCATTATATTTTTTGTGAACTGAGAGGAGTGAATTAAAATCTCATAATTCTCTAATTCTGTCAATATTTCCTTTATTTCTTACAGTTTTTGCATTATAGCTGTGCTCTGTCTGTCTTTTTATAAATGATTTTCGCCCTGGATCGCAAACCATGTACACTGCAGTCTCGATCCCCTCTCCATTTGGACTGCGTCTTACGATGTGTCTTTGCCCATTCATTTTAGGTCTTCTGAGTAACCTTTTATTTTTTTAGTTGTGGAGTTTAGCCAGTTTGTATTTACTAAAAAGACAAAGGTGTTTGGTTTCGGTCCTCTCGTCATATATAACATGCTTCATGTTTTCACTGTTTTGTTTTTATGTTTCGCTGCATAATGTGTTTATGTGAGTTTCTGCAGGTGACGTAGAAGTGTTTCTGTGCTGAGGGTAACATGTATTAGTTTAAACAGCCTGCGTAATCCCCGCGATGGCGGTTATTGGCTCCAACTGTGGACAGCGAGGGCATCGGCACGTGTTCCCTTGGACCTGTGCGCTGCCCCGCCTTCCAGACTGCAGTAGTGGTTAGTCTTGACCTTTATGTATCAAAGTATATTCAGACCTCTACTGTGAGATTTGTCACTTGTAGTCTTTCGACTGTCAGTCAGAAAAGGTGACAAAATTAGGATGTTTGGACTAGCTCCCCGCTGTCTTCCTCTCCCACACCCCCACGTTGTTGATTGTAGCAAGTCTCCGTTGTCAGGGTCGACTTCTGTCCTCTAATCACAATCCCCGCACCTCTCCCAATCTTAGTCCCTCAGTTAACTGGATCGACAGAAAGGCAGGCGCGTCGTAAGAGCGAGCCATCTCCAAACAGAAAAGAGCCATCCGTGTTCCACATACCGAAAACACAAATGCCCGTCGTTGGTCCTTTGGCTGGGGTTTACTAATTTTTCTTTGTTAAAATTCATCCTCTGAGTTTAGGTCTTTCAATGCGGAGTTTTTGTGTTTTCAGAATTATTTGTTGCTTTGATATTTGAATGACAGGCTGGATAGATTTGAAATTCTGTGTCCTGCTTTATTTCCTTGAGGACTTAGGCGGCATTAGTCCCCGTCCGACAGCATGGAGTGTTGCTCTGGAGAAGTCTGAGGCCAGTTTGATTTGTCTCGTGCTGTGTTTTTATCTGGATATGTAAAGGCCTCCAGATAGTAGTTTCCTGGAGATGTAGATAGGTACCTACATACATACATGTATCAGTATTGAGGTTTGCGTGGAGGGGAAGGGAAGGTGGCACAAATTGAATGTTATAACATTTTATTTCTTTGAAAAACAAAAAAAAATGTAAAGCAAATTTGCCAAATATTAACATGAGTTAAATGTAATTGGTGAATCAAGGGAATCTGCATATTACTATTCTCTGTGGTCCAGGGTATGTTTGAAATATTTCACGTTTTTATTTAAAAAAATACCAGATAACCATCAATCAGGGAACACGGGTGTGTTCCAGTGACTCAGTCCAAAGTATGTTTTGTTAGAAAAAATTACTTTTGCCTTATTGATCATCCATATTTTCCTTGTATGTAGACAACCACTCATGTAATTCCTGTATTTTCTCTGGTGTCATTTCCTAAGTGTTGGGTAAAAGTATTGCAGAATACGTTTTTTCTTCGAAAGCCCTATGGTTGGAGATTTTAAAATTCTAAATTGAGAATCTGCAGGGTAGAAGTAAGTGGTAATTGCTCCAGAGACTAAAACTAAGTGGGATGTTTGACTAAAATCTGTTAAGTGATTTCTATTTGCTGATTTGGGACCATTTTGAACAAATATTGCTCTACACGTACAAAATAGAATTTAGGTTTAAAATAGCATGGTAATTGGAGGAGTGAGTATTCAGGACTCTCCTTTGCTCTTTCCCTCTTCCTTTTTTCTTTTTTCTTTTTTTCTTTTTTCTTTCTTTCAACACAGCTAATAAATACGAGTTGTAATAAAAGAGAAACAAATCACCTCCATTTTCTTATTTTTATTATTTTTCAGTTTTCAGTGCTAAAGGATTTTTAATTTTGTTTTTTCCCTCTGTGTTCAGGTATATGTCTCGAGTCCACGGTATGCACCCAAAAGAGACCACCCGTCAGCTGAGTCTGGCTGTGAAAGATGGTCTTATAGTCGAAACCCTAACAGTGGGCTGCAAAGGTTCAAAAGCTGGCATTGAACAAGAAGGATATTGGTTGCCAGGAGATGAGATTGTAAGTATATTTTATTATACTTAGAGATGTAAGCTTTCAATTTTTGAACATTATCTAGATGCAACCTGTGGAAATTCATTTTCAGAAATTTAATAATTCATTTTAACATTTTTATCAACATTAAGACTCTACATTGGTAGTACGGATATATTCCTTCTAAAGATCCTGCTTTTTCTGTCTATGTTACCTTGAATATAGAAAATGAAACAAAACAAACAAAAGCCCTTTCAATGTACACAGGCTTAATGGCTTGCATTCCTAAGTGTTTTCTTCAATAAATATTAGCAATGAATGTTTCAGTGCAGGGCAATATTGATGCCGTTCAGATTTAAAGGGATATGCTGTCTTCTGAGGGAATCAATGTCACCTCGGGGGGTGGCATCAGAGCCCAGAGCCGAGCTTCGACAGGAATTTGTTGCAGGGTACAAAGTTTCCAAACGTTAGATTCACCTGGCCATGGTCATCATCGACTAGTGACTATTGCAGGTTTTGTGGACTGGAGCAGAAATCAAATAAGAAAGACAGAAAATTAATTCTCTTTATATTTTTAACTAGTTCTTATTTTGACTCCTCTTTTAAGTGATGCTATTTTAATCCTCCGTTTCCTCTC